GTGGTGCAGCCCGGTCACAAAAAGGACACAAAAAGAAAAAAAAAAAAGAAATACTGTTGTAAGAACAAGCCAGAGCATGGTTGACCGTGGTCTAAAAGAAGTACAGCTGGGTTTTATTTTTATTCCTATCATGTTATAGAAATTTTGTCGTACACTTACAGACAAAAGGGTCTCTGTCTACGTGAGGTAGACGACTTTTGGCTTTCTATCCTTCCTGCAGGCACCAGTAAATGGTTCGCTTACTGTTCTTTTGTTGTTGTTGTTCCCTAATGGTGACCACACAGACACACACATGCAAACTTCTAGGCATGTGCTCGGGACAGCCTTAACCCTCTCCTAGGGTGAAGGTCCTGCTGCTGCCTGTCTGCTCGGGCATGTGAGCATGCTAGACGGGAGGAGAGGCTGACAGCGGACGGCACACCTGCACAGTGCTCGCCACATGCCCGCTGTTTCCTAACTAAGTGCTTTAAGTCCTACCTAGCCATGATCCTGTGAGGCAGACAGCATTATTTCTATTTTAGAGACAAGGAATCCACAGCATAGAGAGGCAGAGTAATGAGGCCAAACCTGGACTATGAGTAGTGGCGCTGAGATTTAAGCCAATTGGTCCCACGCCTGCGTCCCCGCTAAGGGCCACTTCACACCTGTTATCAGCAGGACAGGTGCAGCCCAGATGACAATGTGATGTGTGAGGACGGCTGATTACAACCATCACTTCATTAGCAGGATTTGAATTTTAAAAAGTACTGCATAACAACAGGAAGCGGATTACACTCAATGACAAAGACATCTTAAAGGAGGCACATTTTAAGAATTCTGGAAGCAACAAGGTGTATTTTAAGAATTCTGGAAGCAACAGGGCATATTTCAAGAACTCTGGAAGCAATAGACATTCAAAATCAGATAAGACTTTTTTTCTTAGAATAGTTATCTTTTAAAGATTAGAAGCTATTCTCCTGAAATTCAGTGAGAAAGAACAGAACACAGGCTGGCACTCTTCCCTACATGCGCGCTGAAGAGTGCAGCTGGCTGGAGATGCCGTCTTCCATCAGGGGCTCTGCTGGATCTAATGTCCACCAAATGTTCATCTAGGGGTTAAAACTGCTTGGAATAAACACCACTGATTATTTTTCTAAGCTCAGTTTCGTACTAAGAAAAGAAGAGAAGTTACCTCACCCTCCCCACTCCCCCACCCCACACAAATAAATCAAATTACTTCATATCTAAGGCAATTTACCCGAGAGGGAAAGGTCTGGAAGATCCAAGCGCTGAATCGCTCCTTTGCTGGCTGTCCGCATCCCACCGAAAGTCGAATGCCTCTATAAAAACAAAAGGGCACACCAGCACAGGTGAGCTTGTGACATTGAGAACAGCACAGACACAGGTGTACGTGTGTGCACAAGTGCGTGTGCTTGTGCACGCAACAGTTCCTAAGCACAATAGAGTCACCAGGGGAGCTTTTAAAATTATTCATTTATTTGAATAGGTAATAAATGCGATTGACACAATCTTCCAAAGGAACAAAAAGGGCAAATAGTGAAAAGAGAGTCTCCCTTCCACTCCCATATCACCCGTTTCTTCTCCCCAGAGGTAATCGTTATTCAGCAGTTTTGTGAATATCCTTCCTGGAATATTCAATGCATGTTCAAGAATGT